GTGTGTGTGTGTACAAGAGAGGGACAAAGAGGACAAAGTGTTTTCGGATTATGCTGAGTTCACATTATTTATTTTACTTCAATGTGTCCCTGAATATGCTGGAGGTTGGTTTATTTGTGTTATATATTCATTAAGAATTAATGCTACACAATTGTATTAATGTATACTGCTATTAAAGCATGACATTAATACATTTTTAATGAGGATTGTCAGAATTTACATGACAAAAATTAGGGCCTAAATCTGGAGCATGTCAGTTTGACGACATGCTCGGCCTTACTGCGTCAAACAGCGCTGCACTCCTGTGTTTACTAGGGAATTGTGTAAGTAGTCCAGTATTTTCATAGTAATTTTCTACTCTTAGTGAGCACCCAAAGTGTTTTTTTACTACATTCACAGACATGAAGACTTGAGGAAGCGAACCTCCAATCTTCCAACCCACTCACTCCTGTGCCACAATAATAGAAAGCAGTTGCATGTTGGAGTCGTCAAAATGTTCCATCATCATGGAGGCAATTAAAAAAATATGATTAAATCCGTGATGTTTTTCATTTTCAGGTGGCACATTCTCAGTAAAGCTACTTTCAGCTGCTCCCTTGTCACAAGGCGTGACCACTGCTGGTAGCGCCACATGGTTTGATTTGGTAGAGGATGCCCATCAGCAAGCAAATGCGGAAGGGATTTGCTCCTCTGGCAAGAATCAAGCCAGCAACCTTTCACTTGTCAGGCAAATATGTAAACCGTTACACAGCGGAGCAAGGCTGTCATAGCTAACTGAATCAAAACTAAAAACTTACACTAGATGTGAAAAATACTTTTGATCACCTAAAATACAAATAGAAATTGGAGAAATTGAAACATTTTTGTGAACTTGTAAAACTATCTAAAATTAAAAAAAATAAAGGATCTGTCATTTGTTAAGTATTTGTTAGTTTGGTAAAACTTTATCACAACTTGCCTGATGAGGCTTTGATGGACGAGATTATTGAGACTCGCGATGTCGATGAAGCCTGTGAGTCAACTGCTTTTTAATGTTCTGTATTTACATTGACCGCAGTCACCCAGCACATGGACTCTTCACCCTCCTGCCCTCTGGGAGGCGCTACAGGAGCCTCCAGACTAAGACCACCAGGTACCGGAACAGCTTCTTCCCCACAGCTGTCAGACTCCTGAACTCTGCCTCCTGACATCTGACCCACGTTAACACACGGACTGGACATACACACACCCACAATGGACAACTGTACCCTCAGACACACAATAATAACATGGACTGAACCACCACTCTCAATCACTAGCACTTTATATAGCCTCTGTAGAAATTACCCACATATCTCACTTATCTTAACTGCACTACTGTATAATTCTGTATAAATAATCATTCTGTAAAATACGATCATTTTTAATTCTACAACTGTTTATAACTTGCATAGTTCACATTTCTGTATAGCTGTATATCTCATATTTCTGTATAGTTTTTTTTTTATCTCATATTTCTTTATAGTTTTTCATATTTATATCCTGTTCATAGCCTGTACATCAAATCAAATCAAATCAAAATTTATTTATATAGCACATATTAAAACAACAGTGTTGACCATAGTGCTTCACAGTCAGTAAAAGCATGAGACAGTTAAAACAAACAATAAAAGAGGACAACAAACAATAGGTAACAACACAACAAGCTAGACCAGCCAACTAGACAGAATCAAAAGCCAAAGTAAAAAAAATAAGTTTTAAGACGTGATTTAAAAGACTGGATCGACTCGGCAGTACGACTATGAACAGGGAGGTTATTCCAGAGTCTAGGTGCCACGGATGCAAAGGCCCGGTCACCTCTCGGCTTCATTCGAGTCCTAGGTTGTGCTAGGAGCCTGTGGACGATCTATGAAACTGTACATAGCTTGTACTCACTACAGCCTGTACATACTTATAGTTATAGAATATTCATAACATACTTCATACTGTGTACATTATAACATACCATAATAGAGCCATTTCTGTAATATACTTACATATCTATATTATTGTTATATATATTTGTAATATATCTATATCATGGCTAAAGCACTTCTGGATGGGTGCAAACTGCATTTCGTTGCCCTGTACCTGTGACATGTGCAGTGACAATAAAGTTGAATTCTATTCTATTCTATTGTAATACCTGCACTGATTGTTCTAAATCTTGCCTCTGACATATGCCCTCCATTCAATAATAATTAAAAAGAGTAAAACTAACACTGAAACTAATAAAAACAAGCACCAGGTACTTTCTTGGCATCATCATAGATTCCTAAGCAGTTCAATTTCACAGATATCAGGGAAAAGTCGAATTTATAAGCTGGAGCCAGCCCATATATCACTCAGCTGATGTTGGCTTATCACAGACATACTTGTGCCACTGTTTGCATTATCCAGCATTTACTGCTATCCTTTTCTTTTGACAGAAAGCAATGCAATAAAAGATGCTCGGGAGGATGTCAACACATAGTTTGTCCAGTACAGCAGTCCCAACTCTATAGTCTGCAGTATTTACAGCAGTATGTCTGCACCACGTAGAAGAGTAGCATCACAACTGGGCATGACAGAAACAATAGAGCCAAATTGAGGTGTGGATGCAGGTGAGGAGTGATGTCTTCACAGAACAGAAAAGATTTCTCAGCATCAAACCCAAAAGTCCTGAATCAATTGGGCTCCAATTTAAGCCATGGCATGAATTAGACAGGCTCTTGCTAAATAGCATGTAATTAACATGACTGATGTGACATGTTCAAAGTGGCCATACTTTTAGAGCCACAGGTGACCCTTTCTGCTGCTACACTTTTCCTGCTAACTCAGTGTATTAATACAATCTGTCTCACTCATCGTAACAATACATAACAAGCAGCGCCCCTAATCACGATGCTGGTTAGACAGAAAAAATTGTGCTCCCTCTAGTATTTGTTCCGTGCCAACCACCTAGTTTTGTCTATTATTAGAAAGCTATTGTTGCTGCAAGGGGAAATGTAAAACACTTCATGTTTGCTGGAGACTTACCTGATTCAAAGCTATTATAAAAATTATGTAGAACTCAATACATACTGATTCCTATTAAGTGTCATTTGAGAGCAGAGCAGCAATTATTGCAATGGAAACGTCGTGCATTATTTCCTTTTAAAACACTTCAGACTTTGTGCTTAAAAGAAGAAAACGGGAAGTACTGAGGAAAAACAGAGAAAATGAGACAAAAAGAAGGAAAGAAAAGAAAAGAAGAAAGAAAACCTGAGCAAGAAAAAAGAAAGACAGACGGAGACAAAGCGGTGCAGAGACAGAAAAAAAAGAGGCAGATTGGGTTGTTGTACGGAGCCGCACTTGACTCTCTGATGTTCGGTGAGTTCTGACAGCTCCTCTAGTTCAGCGCTCCCCTACCTGACACTTCAGTAGAGCCTACTGCTGGTCTATGAGCGTCGCTGTGTGCGTCTGTGCACGTGCACGCTCGTGTGGCTTGAGACACAGGCGGAGAGAGAAAGAGATTGTTTGGGGACAATTCCTGTGAATTTCTCTTGTGTGAGTGCGTGCACTCGTGAGGATGTGCACATGGATGAGTATCTTAACTGCCACCAAAACCTAATTTTGTTCCTTAATTCAAAGCAAAATCGAGTTGAGCTGACATACACAGCAGGGGTAAGTGAGAGGGGGAGGATGCGTGCGCGGAGTGTGCGTGCATGCACGCCCGTGTGTGTGTGTGTGTGTGTGTGTGTGTGAGACAGCAACCCCCCTGTGGTGAGACCTAATTTAAAGTGGGGAGATGAACACAGCTCCACAGTGAGAAGCAGCCCCTGACAGGAACAGAGACAGACAGACACACACAGCAAAAATAAAACAGAATGAACCAGACAGAGAGGAAGCTACCTTTAGAGCGAGAGCAGGAAGCCCTGTTGGTTCTATAAGGTGAAAAAAAAAAACCTAACTAAAGTGCTGTCTTTCCCTCCCTATATCCATTTGCATGAGAAGTTGTGTGTTTGATTGTGGGCGTGTTTTCTCTGACTCACTGGGTTGAGCAGCACGGTGAGAAACAGCTCTCCCCCACGGATGCTTTTGTCCAGTTCTTTTGGTCCTCCGGGGTATTCCTTATAGTAGATGGTGTGAGTAAACAAGCCACACGTTTGGCGAGGCAGCACCTACACACAAAAACACAGACACAGACATATGATATATTTTCATTTTAAGTCAAAAGTGCGAATAAATAAGACAAATATCATTATCCAGCACTAATTCATGGCAATAATAATGACATTGGGACATCTCTAGCCTTGTTAGACTCCTGGGCTCACTCGTTCAGTATTCCCAGCTCCTTTTTCAGTGGTTTTTATGTTGAGAACTGGATGCATGTGTAAGTCAGTTTACTGGCAAAATAAAGAAACTCTGACACTACTTGGGTCATTCTGTTAATTATATAACTAACACTGCACCATGAAAACATGGCACAACAATGCTGGTCAAAAAAAAAATGCATTTTTGTGCTAAATACATATTTTCGGAAGGTACTCGCCCAAATCAATGTATAGAAAACTTCCAGGTTTGCATGCAAATCTTGGGTGGAGATGTTGTGTGAACCTTTTCTCAATGAAGTTTTGGATACCTTTAGTGCAGCATTTAGGCTATATTGATGTTAAAAAAAAACTACAAAATGTTGAATTCACTCTGACCACTATAATAATGACTAATGGGTGAATTTGGGCTTACAGTTTTCACAGAGCATCAGAAAAAAGTGACAGCAAAATAGTTCTGATTTTTTGTAGAGGCTAATGTAGCCTTGAGCCTCTGGCTTCAAGCACAGATGAGGAGCAAACTACAGACATCTGGTGACCTGGTTTTCATTTTCAGACTTGTAATCTTCATATGACATCTCTTTAAGCAGTTTATCCAATATCAAACCGTAAAGCACTTTATATATATATATTTTTGTAATATGGTGTGATCTCAATATTCCTGTGATCACACCTTGTTAAAGTGAGGGAATTCCCATTTAAGAGGCATATGAAACCAACGTGATGCAATGATTTGAAATCGAAAAGCTACAACAGCTGGTCCTATGTGAGCTTCTTTTTTAAACTACAGATCACTCATCCGTTTCAAATGCAACATACAAACAAACCAGGTACAAAGATGGCGTAAAAAATAACAGCAATGACTCGGATGACGGATGTAAAGATTAAATGATGATAAGATTAAATGTGCAGCTGTGTGTCTGTGTGGCGTTATCCAAACAGAAAATGCAGACATCTGAGCAGGTCATTCTGATGTGTCACACAGCATATGGCATTGTTAACTGCGTACATCTGCAGATGGCTCAAGTCACAGTCTTGCGCAGTTCAACAGACCTTATTCACAACTAGCGCTTTGACTTGGCGTAGGATTAAAAGGAAAGGCGTAATTACTAATGGTTTTATTCAATTCAGGTGTTCCACTTCCAGGCCCTTTGCTATTGTCCGTGCTGGCTAACTGGAACGTAGCCATAATAGAGCCATCATTATTATTATTATTATTATTATTATTGTTAGGTTTTTAGCTCTACCTTTACTTTCCTTGTAATGACAAGTCAACATGCCGACTGTGAAAAAGGTTTATCAGAGCCCAATTAATGGTGTCAAAAGACACACCACCCCCTGCATCAAGTGCGCTTGAGCTGTGTGTCCTAAAGTGCTATCCAGCCGAGATGTCTCCACCAAAGCAACAGAGACCTTGTTTTCATGCAGGTGTGCAGCACAAGGCATTGGTGATTAGTTAAATCTTCCTCAGGCACTGTTCAGTTTTTTTCACCTCACCTGCACCTGTTTGGTATTTTGGTAACTTGCTGTTTACTGAAGCAGGAGGAGATGATAACAGATTACTTTTAATCCCACCTCAAGCAGGTGCACTGTGCACCTTTGGCCATAAAAATACATAATAAAAACACCCCACACCCTGTACAAACTGTGTAGCTAGGAACCTACATACAAAAACTGGTCCAAAACGTCAGAAAACTGAACTGAGTAAAGACTTTTTTTTCACCCCCAAAAGAAGTACTAGAAGTTAGACTGTTCATGCAAACAAACATTATTTCTGTTAATTTAAATGATTTTCCTGTGGAGATATGGAACAATGGGGAAAAATGAGAGGTTGCCAGATCGAGGGTTTTAATGGTTGATAAACTAAATGTCTTTTAATTAGTCCATTAAATGATTAAATGAAGAGAAGAGAAGAGAAGAGAAGGGAAGACAAGACAAGACAAGACAAGACAAGACAAGAGAAAGGGTCTTTCAAAATAAGTGCATTAACTTCTTGTGAAGCACTTCTCTGTGTGAAATAGAGAGTAAAAGGCTGGAAGCACAGATATTGGTTTATCTATAAAACACTGCAGAGTCAAAAAGAGAAAGAGGGAGAGAGAGAAAGAGAGATGGAACCGGAGAGAGTGAGAGAGAAGGCCACCAGAGCCACAGACACTCAGCACTATTTCACCAAACCAATTATCCACAGAGCTATAGCTCAAACTGATATAGTACATTTTAAAAAGAAATGCACACACACACACACACACAAGTATGCATGTTTGCACATCTGCACGCGCATGCATACACACAAACACGCAGACACACACACGCAGCACAGCCCCATATCTCAGTGTGATTTGTTCTGATACTGTGGGTCCAGTGGGTGGCTCTCAATCTGCTGACAGAGACACACGCGCACGCCAATTTTACAGCCTTAAGACAACTTCCTGTCCTCCTCGGAACAAACAAAGATGGAGCGAGCGGCAGAGGAGAAAGAGATTAATCGACAGAAATTGCGGGAAAAATTGGAAGTGAAAAATGTGAAAGGTAAAGACAACGAGAAGGATGTGAGTGATGTCCCAGAATAGCAAGACAATAGGTCGGGAAGCGAGATGAAGCATCAGAATCTTAAAGTTCATCAGCTAATTTATGGTGAGCTCATTCGAAACTTCATTTTTAACTCGCGTGGAGGTGCACATTTATACACACATGAACCACCACACAAGCTGCCTCTCAGAAAAACTGTTCTGCCTCCGTGAGCTATGCTCTGATTTTGTTTTGTTTTTCTGGCCTCCCTTTGCTATTTAGTCAGTGTAGCGTGCAATGTCTTGGAGCGAGAGATGGGCCTTTTCAACACACTGGTTACACTTTAAACACAGTTTGATGTCACCACAGTAATGTCGCCTAAGTAGCTGTCGTGTAGCTTTCAGTCACATCACTTGATCTTAATAAAGATCTTGATGAAGCTCGTGTGACACGGGTGCATGGGTGGCGTGTCGGGGCAGCGGTTTGAGCCCAGGCTGGAGCCTTTCTGTGAGGAGCTTTGATGTTCCTCCAGTACAGTAGGTTACCTCCGGGTACTCCAGCATCCTCCCACACTCCCAAAGACATGCATGTTAGGCAAACTGGCTGATTGGATGGACGTGAGGTATGGCCATGGAAGTGCTTTAAATGCACAGAATAGTCTTCTGTGGATAAAAGACTTGTAGTCTGCAGTGCTTTGAGTGGGGTGTAGGGCTAGAACAGCGCTATGTAAATGCAAGTACTTTACATTATGAAAAAAAGCTTCAGAACAGCTAATAAATTCACCTCGAGGCGAGATTAATTTTTTAAACTGTGTTTTTCCAAAAACCAAAAGCTGGGCAAGTTCATCAAAATGAACATTTTAAGACATCCAATAATACTACTTCCTTTAAACACAGTGTTAATGAGGTTAAATTGAGCTTTTTTAAATATATTATACGATTAGTGTGCATTGTTTTGAAGGCTTCTTTGGAGTGATTTAGTCACAGCATGTTTGGGTTACCTCGTAGATCACCAGTGGCAGATTATTCTGATTCACAGACCTGCGTTTAGTGTAGGATGCCGGAGGCAATGTCACCACATGGTTTTTTTTAAAAAACCATTTCCTCCAACATGTAAATGCAGAGTCTGTACTTAGCAGTGACGGGCGAGTCCATCGGTCCGCGGTCTGATTTTGTGGAAGCAACACGATCAGGAAATCAGTCCCTTCATTTCCTGCCTGAGCTCAGCTGAATATATGTAATTTGCATATGTCCTTGCCCACTGTCAATGTGGATGAATATTTCCAACTGAGAAAACACAAAACAAGTTTGTTTCACTATTCAAAAGCGTGTCATTACAGCCTTCACTTAGGTTTGAAAGACAAAAGGAACAAGTGTTTCAAAGGCAACGCTTGGACAGCGATATCACTCCTGTCAGCTGTAAGCACGGAAATCTCTTTGTTTTGTTTCTGAGCATCTGAAATTGTTTCAGTTTTTCTGTCAGCAGCTTTTCAAGTTCTTCTGACATAAAACACAAACAATTTTATTTGTGGCTTTTCTTCTTTTCCATCTTTCTTTGCGATGTGTTGTTTCATAAAATTGTTTAACAGGTATGTATCCGCTTTTTCCCCCCCTCATGTTTTGCTTTTCTCTATATTGAATTCATTGATTCATAAGTTTTCATAAATCCTTACTATTGATCACGCACAATAACTTATTATAGCGTGTCAAAAAGTGAGCGTGCCATTGTAATGAGAGGAAGTAGGATTACGTCGATGTCTTTTATGATGCTGTCATGAGAAAATAAAAGTAGACTTCAGGGACTGATTAGAAAATTGACATAGCTGTCTGTTCAAATTGTTTGTTCGAGACCCTTATATGACAGAACAACACGGACCGGTAATTTTGGTGTCAGATGTGATTGGTTCTTTTGTCAATAGGGGAACTGTTGTGCACACTGACAAAGAGCCTGACTGACAAGTGAATGAAGAAAAGAGGGGGAGGCAGGGGGAGGGATGAAGGCAATTTGCTTAGGTGAAATGGGTGACAAAAGTTTTATTCTATTGTCGTCTCAAATGGCGACTGATGAATTATTTATTGGAGCATAAAAGTGCTAAAAATGCTCTCATTACCAAACCTTTTTAGTCTGCGGTACATCCTGCACATATAGAAAATAAACCTAAAGAAAAGCCCAGCCCGTCGACTGCACTGGGAAGCCATTAAATGTTAAATTAACGTGAAGCTGAGCATGCGGTGAGACAAGGTCAAAGAATTCATATCACATACACCTCTGCGTACACAGAGAGGTTACACACCATGCACAGCATCATTGATTTTTTGTTTAGGGGGCCGCAAGAAACAATCATCACGCAATTTACTATTCAGCAAAGACTTATTTAAACACAGACGGGAGTCGTGCGGGTTTTTTCAAAGCAGGATAAAAGAACAGAGCCACAAAGCAAAACATTCAAACAGATTTAAGCTTTTTTTAAGTTCAGCTGCTCCACAAATTTAGAATCTGTTGTTTTAATTCCAGTCAGAGATCTAATATTTATTTCTTTATTTTTTTTCATCTGCAGGGAAGGACACTTGTTAATGTGCCTTGAGTGCTAGAGTCAGTCCCACAGAAAAACATCTTCAGAGAAGAGTCATCATTTTATCTGGCCAACCTGACTCACCAGCTTTTGTCAGAATATGCTAGAGGTGGGCAGATCAATCGAAATATTGATAGTACCGACACCAATACTGGTATTGGATCTATGCTAGCACGATATGATCGATACTTTGTTGTAACTCTAACTGAATTGTGTTAAATTAATTACTTTTTGAAAGATGAAAACTATACCTCTAATGTGCTCTATGAAAAATATCTGAACCTTTTTGTGTTGACTGTCACATCTGTTTTATTTATAGACTATTACACGAACCAAATTCCTTTAGAGACGGGCACATTTGCATTTACAGTTTAAAAAATACACGAAAAACTGAAAGATGTGTTTGATTTGTTTTGTTGTACTTTTGTTGAAATTAAAAATCACAGTAATTTCGTGGTCATTAAAATATGTTCAGAATTTCCAAATTGATGATGATTCATCGCAAAAGTTAGGACACACTGATCTCCTCTAGATAACTTGCCTTTATAAGTTAAAAGTATCGTTATTGGCCATCCTGGCCCTGTGTTTACTTAGTATCGGATCGATACCAAAATCGGCAGCGTCACACAGCACTAGAAAATGCACATCTATGCATGGTCTGCCAGGCCAAAGTGTTTTATTAAAAACATGTCTGCACACAGCACCAGCTCTGACTTCTATCAAAGAGGAACCCGCCACAACACAGAGCTGCGCAACAACAAGCTTAATGACTACTACTTCTAGCCTGAGAGAAGATGAAAATAGCAAAAAAAAAAAAAAAGGAGAAAGAAACAGCAGGGAAAATATAAAATAATGAAATAATCAGAAATATGTTTTCAGGAAAAAAAAACATGTTTTGAAATGAGATATTTGACAGCCTGTTTTTTGGAGCGGGGGGGTTGGCATTTAGCTGCACACAAAACGAGGCATGTTCAGCTATAAATATCTAACAGGTAGATGGGAAGAGCCTAATTGGTTTTCATGCATTTGCAGCAATATGTCAATTAATCAATGTGTATTTATCCACATGAGCAAGGAGGGATGCATTTGCATGTATGTGCTGAATGTGAAGCTGATCGCCTGCGTCATCTCCTCACCATTATGCTGTTGTGGATGAAGCCCTTACGGTAGCGGGCAGGTTTGAGGTGGGGGTACTCTTCAGTGCTGGTGACCCGAATGTTCCACACACGTTTCCAAGCCTCATACAGCTGCAGGTGGACCGGGTAGACACCCGAGTGGTGAGGGGCCACAGCGTAGCCCATATCAACCGGGATGTTGTGGTTCTGGAGAGAGGAGACGTGCAAAGACACGGAAAATGAGGTTTATACACATAAACAAAGAAATAATGGCATGCTTGCAGCTCCCAAACAAAGGACTTTGTAGCACATAAACAGCCTGACCTTGCAGATGAAGCACGTGCCTTGTACCGTGTTTGTTATGATGCTGGCCTTCGGGTTGGAAATTAAAAAAAATATATAGTTTGTACGAGCATGTGTGCGTGTGTGTGAGGGTGGATGGTTGCCGGGTGCATCCCGAAGACTGATGGTGTTGTCCTTTGCTCTGACACACACCTACACACACTGTCAAAGCTAAGCATCGGCGGCCAAAGGGGATGAAGGAGTGAAGTGTGCATGTGTGTGTGTGTGTACAGCAGAGGCTAGTGATCAGACTTTATGTTCACGCTCACCTTCAACAGCATGAACCAACCCCTCCTCGTTGTCTCGCGTGTGTGACAACGAATTCCAGCACGGTCATACAAATCATTTTTTGCTCGCTCACACAAACACAAACACATACACACAGGTACTAACAAAGCAGACAAAATAAAGCAGTGCAGAGCAACAAAAAGCACTCAACCTTGAGGGCTTCAGATTAACCAGGAGACATTAAATAGGACTCAGGTGTCTTTTAAAATAAGTGCATCATTCCCAGCAGGGTTATTACATTTTATTTGTCTGTCGGAAGCAAAATTGTTCCTTCGCTGCTGCGCCCCAACCAAGTCTCAGTCTGTTAAAACATGCCCATATGCAACTAATTTGTTTAGCAGGAAGTGTAATCTCCCCAAACATTTGTAAATATATCATCAAACATAAAATAGCACAGTTTACATGGCATATGTTATCGTGTTTGATGTCAAATCGCAATATGAAAAAGGCACCAAAACGTCCAATACACTTTTTAATGACTCCAATTTATTAAATCCAGACACACCTATATTATTGTATGATTTTAAGCATGAAAACAATTCAAACTGGTGACTTATAAAAATGTAATTACCCGCAAAGTTGACATAAAAAGGGAAATTATCTATAGGGACTGAAAGTGGCTGTAAAAATGTTTACATGTGCTCTAAAGTTGAGCAATTTATCACGGGAATAATCTTTCGGCACTGACTCGCTTTTGAAGCCAGCCTCATGTGGCCACGCAAGGAACTGCAGTTTTGCAATGGCTTCATTTTCAGCCCCACACGTCAACATAGATGCCCTTGAAAAAAGTGCAGTCTTGGGAAATTCGTATGATCAAGGACCCACAAGACGAAAACCACACTGACAGAGTGTAAGAAATACGTGTGCGTGCTTGCCCATCCATCTCACCAGAGCAAACTCTTTGTTGAGGACCATCTGCTCCAGCAGTGAGGACTCATTGTGGAAGAGGTGAGGCTGCATGTGGCTCCACATGTGGGGGAACCACCAGAACTCATCTACATACTTCAGTAGCAGATCGTCTCCCTCGTCCTCCTCTGCTGTGCCTACGCTCACAAAAACGCACAAACAGAACAGGGCAAAAGGAGAAATAAAGCATTAAGCACCTTACAACAACAGGCAGATTCAGATTACGTCCAAATGAGTGCTATCCATAGCTTCCTGCTGGTGCAGGGTTAGATAAGAATCACTATGCAACCCAATTGTCTTAAGGTTGTGTTACTAAATATGGTAGTCCGATACCATGGAGATGATGCCATAGCAATAACAGATGCGATGGAGATGTGTTCTAGTCTGCATCAGATTTCTTCTAATTATAATCATGTTCGGCCTCACCTCGATTTTTCTTTTCCAGTGAATCCCACACCTTCATTCTCTTACTGCAGATTTAGACAATTTAAGTAGAAAATCAATAAGCACTGTCCTTGGAGCCAGAAGGCAGCGGAGGATCCAATGCAGTATGTCATAACCTCATAAATGTGTGAAATGTGTTACTGTGCAACTTTAAATCTAAAGCTATTAAATAACATATATTGGTTTTAGTGATGATGTGATAACATATGCACACAATAATTATAATTAGAACCATGTGGGTCACGTTATTCCTGTATGTAAAGGATGGATGTAGCTACCCTGTTCTGTTGGTTAGTCCCATCCTAAAGCCTGTCACCATCCTGATGCTTTGCAAACAGGTGTGACCTGTCATACGTGGATCGAACTAAGAAACTGAGGTGCATTCGTCATATGCCAGCTACTTGAAAATTATACGGTAGCTATTCCCAAATGCATATTCTGATTGTTGGTCTCTAACTATGGCCATAATTTCGAAAATTACAGTTTTTCTAAATCGCTTTGGTGCAACTCTCACACCAGAAACGTCATTCTCACTGTTCTTAACGCAGTTCCCAAATCAGTAACGCATTTCCCCACCGACATCAGGCTTTCTCATTATTTTTATGCACACTGCTGTAATTTTACACGAGCTTCACTGATATTCGTATTTCAACGCTAAAAGTATTTGTTAGTGTGTCGAAGCAGTTCTCATTTGAATGCCACAGCTTGTTAAAACCGTGTGTACTTTTGTGTGTCAGTACCCTTCATCTCTCACTTTCCTGAATACTGTCCAGTATTGCATTAGTGTTCTCAATCAAATCACTTCAAACTTATTTCAAATATTTTTGAAAGAGCAAGGCCAGCAACACACTGTCAGTGCTCGTAAAAACAAACACATGTTCTCAATAGTCACAGCTACATGCCATGTCACTGCTAATTAGACACAAGGATATACTATACAAATACACCCACTGGTCACTTTATTAGTTACACCTTGCTAGTACTGGGTTGGACCCTCTATTGCCTTAAGAATAGTTTGTGTCATAGATTCAGGAAAGCGCTGGAAATATTTCTCAGAGATTTTTCTTCGTGCTGACACGACAGCAACTGCGTGATGCTGTCAGCTGCTTATTCAAATTTCCCCTTCCACTACATCCCAAAGGTGTTCTGGAGCACTGAGATCCACATTCAGTTGTCTTTCTTCCATATTGTGATGCTCAGTTTGAACTTCAGCAGGCTGTCTTGACCATGTCTACATGGCTAAATGCTTTGAGTTACTGACATATGATTGGTTGATTAGATATTTGCATTAGCGAGTAGTTCAACAGGCGTACCTAATAAAGTGTTTGCTAAATGTAAGTAGTGTGATTTTAGTGGACTACACAGTACTTGGTGGTATGTTCTGAGACTGTTTTCTGTGTTCTGATGCATATAGTTACACATGCATCATTTTGCATTCATTTGAAGTTTCAAATAAATCCTTCACATTTCTTCTTTGTGACTGAACACTTGTTACTCCACATTATGCCTACATTTTTGCAGTATTCTTTATAAAGTCACTAAGGCTTATCATAAAAATACCAAACTATTTGGTGTCCAAGTCCTAAAATGGTGATGAAAGGGTTTGTATTCATTGGTTCATTGCAGCTGCTAACTGTACCAAAACAGTGTAGTTTATACTTCTCTGCAATAAGTTTCCCTTTCTTAGAGTCACCTTAGTGGAATATTAATTAAACTATAAAGATGTATTTGTGTCATGTTGATTCACGTATGGAAAAACTGCCTTTCAACAGGAGAAAACCTCCAGCGGAAACAGGCTCAGGGAGGAGCAGCCATCTGCCGCGACCGGTTGGGTGGGGAGAGGAATAGTTGGTGTGGAGCACCCACAATTTCATTGTACATGTACAACGACAATAAAGGCTATGCTATTCTATTTTATTTGATTCTCTTAAGTATGTACACATCATTTTTTGTACTCATCATATTTAAATTATTTTGCAAAGGTTAGATAGAAAAACATGAGAAAACCCACCTGTGTGGTAGAACTTCCCAGAGAAGCCCAGATTAAAGGTAAAGTTGGAGATCTGAGAACGAAGCTGCTTCTGAGTATCAAGGAGAGCCTGTAAACACAGACAGACAGTCAGACAGACAGATAGACAGATGCAAAATAAAAGCAATATGTTTATTTCTCCCCAGCGAGTCTACACATACAAATTGGTTTTAGATCTTGTGTTTCTGTGATGTATATTTAAGTGAGCACTTGTTCCTTCGACAGCTGCCAGAATGGCCGTATGCTCATGTCAGTACTTAAACTATGGCTGCTCAATGGAAGCAGTCACCAATGTGCTCTTGCACTGTGTCTCATTATTAGAGTCTCCTCTTTTGTTTTCTACATGCACAAGTCTTCCGTTCCCGTACTTAAAGTTTCTGCAATCTCTAGTTTCAGTGCTCGAATCAGGATTTTCCTCACTTATTTAATGACTTCATTAGTTTACTGGCCTTTAAACAAAGACTCTGTAATGAGTGTTAACTAAAGAGAGTCGCACACTCTGCGCACACACACACACACACACACACA